CTGTCAGGCCTTGCATCGAGAGCCTTCACCAACTGAGCCATTCCGATGGCTTCTTTCTTACTTCTCTTCCTTTGTATTTGTATTTTTGTTTGTGGTGGGCTTTTTTTCCCTGTTTTTTTGAGACAAGGTCTCCTTGAAGTCCCAGCTGGTCTGGAACTATGTGGACCAGGCTGGCTTAGATCTCAGAGAGATCCACCTGCCTCCACCTCCTGAATGCTGGGATTAAGCGTGCTGCCACCACGTCCAACCAAATAAATAAAGATTAAAAAGCCAATGTGAATAAACCAAATACCTGAGTTCCGCTGTTTCTTCCTCTTACTCATTTTTTCCTTCTTGAGAAATCTAAAAACAAACTCTGGGTTGTCACCTGCACTCCATGTCCATGTATACCTAAATGCTCTGGGCAGAGGGCAGCGGCTTCCCCTCCTCCACCCTCCCCGTCCCAGTAGGACGCAGGTGGGACTCCTGGTCCCAGCCACTTTGGGCCACAGCCAGGTAGGAATTCACTCTGTTGTGCTACAGAGAAGGATCCCAGCTCTGGACCCTAAGTTGGAACCAACCTGACACCCTGACACTGGGGAATCTGAGGTGTGGGGTACTCGGGGGCTTTGAGAGGTCACAAAGGGCTTTAGCGGGAAGATCCAGGGGTCTTCGTCGGGCAGGAGTCACCCCGCGATGACCTCTATGAGGCCTAGGCAAGCCCAAACCAACCCCAGGCCACGGCAGGGGTGGAAGCCGCCCTGTTCTTGGCAGGCACAAGTTGCCTAAATCACTCGCCTAACATTTTAAGAAAAAGCGCATATCAGCTGTCCCGAGAGCCACGTGGCACGGCCAGCGTCTGCGGGGTCCTCTGGCTTGGGCACAGTGAACCTGCGTCCCCGCGACCTGCCCCACAGTGACCCGTGACGAGGACCACACGCACCAAAAGCCAGGCACAACAGGCCGCCGCGTTGACTAGCCGCCACGCTGAAGAGAAGCCGGGCTTCGAGCCTCACTGAGGTGCGGCTACGTGAGCTTGCTCTGCCTTTTTCCCGCGCCCCGCGAGGTCCCGCCCCACGCACCCGCAGCACCAGAACCACGCCTCCCGCGCCCGCGCATGCTCCGCCTCCTCTCAGCGCCGCTCCCTGCAGGTCCAGCAGCTCCATTCTAAGCGCAGGCGCGGCCGGGGCCCACGCACTGACTATCGGGAGTTGTAGTTTCGTTACGCGGTCCTCCAGAATCCAATGCCCGCGCTCCGGTGCGGCGGCTCCCGAAGGCTAAGGCGGAAGTAGGTCGGCTACAACCTGGGAAGCGAGGGCGCGGGATCGACGGGCGCGGGACGCCAAGGAGGAACGCAGGGCTCTGGAACAGCGCGTGCGCGGGGATTGGCCTTTCCGGAGGAGGCAGGGCAAGGCCAAGGTGCCGGGGCTGGAGGTCCGGGCGTCGAGCCTGAACGATGCACAAGAGGAAGGGACCCCCGGCACCCCCGGCACCCCCTGGCCGGGGTGCCGCCACCGCCCGTCAGGTGAGTGTGCGGCCCACGGCGGGGTGTGTGTGCGTGTGTGTGTGTGATCCTTCCACGTCTCTTCTTACGCTCGTAGGAGGGCCCCAACTCCATGGAAGCCTGATCTACACCCCCAGGTGAACCTTGGTACCCCCCACCCAGGGCCCCCAAGGGGCGAGCCGCCCCCCCGCCCGCCACTCGCTCCCTGCCCCCAGCCAGCCAGCTCCCCCCCCCCCCGGCCCCGCAGGTGAGACTGGCTCCCTCCTGTGCAGCATACTGACCTCGGCCTCGCAGCATCTGACTCCCCTCCCTGGTTTCTGGGGACACCTGTTGCTGCTGTAGCTCCAGCCTGGGAGGGGCAGCTATCAGACTGGCTCTTCAAACCTTTGCAGCAGCCAGGCTAGGCTACACTTTGCTTTCATTTTACAGATAAGGCCACTGAGGATATCTGACCAAGGTCATAGGAATGACAACCTATGAATGAACCTAAGTACCAATCCAGAGCTGTACCCGTAAAGCCCATAGGGCTGTAGCCTGGCCCCGTCCTCCCAGCCCCAGACGCTGTGGGGTTTGATTTGTCCCTGCTTGGTGAGAGGAAACCCAGAGCTTACCTCAGTGCTTAGGTATGAATCTATCTGACCACAGATCCTGGCCTTGGTACCTTGGATACATGGATTTGCAGCTCTGAGCCTCAGTTTACCCATCTGTGGAATAGAGGCCTCAAAGAGCCATTGTTTCACCAGACAGTTGTGAAGATCTATTGAGAGTGTTTATGGAAAATGATAGAACATAGTACTTATTATTCCCAGGAGGTAGAGCCATGTATAATTGCTAATATTTGGGCCAATTTAGACTTTTGAAAAGGCAATCTCATGTGAGTTCCAGGCCAGCTGGGACTTCAGGGAGACCCTGTCTCAAAACTCCCAAAAAAGGAAAAAAAAAAAAAAAAAGGCAATTTCATGTAACTCATCATCATATCACATTCTGATTGGTCATTAACCAAAGCAGGAGGATATGTCTACAGAAAAGACCCATTTATAACTTAGACATCATTATCAGGGTTTTTATTTTCCTTGCATTGTTGGAGATGGTACACAGGACCCCCAGCCCCTCACTGGGGGATTCTAGGCAGGGGCTCTGTCTCTGAGCCACACCCCCAGCCCTTAACTGGAGGATTCTAGGCAGGGGCTCTATCTCTGAGCCACACCTTTAGCCCCTCATTGGGGGATTCTAGGCAGGTGTTTGACTTCTGAGCCACACCCCCAGCCCTTCACTGGGGGATTCTAAGTGGGTGCTCTACTATTGAGTCACACCCCCAACTCCTCATTGGGGGATTCTAGGCAGTCTCCCAATAGCTGAGCCACACCCTCAGCCCCTGGCAGGCTTCTAATTGCTCTCCATTACTCTAGCCTTCCTGCACACTGTTTGTAGAAGATGCTGGGCAAAAGAGTCCAGGTGTGCTAAGTGGCTTTGCTCTGGGCAGGGTGTGGGGCCTGTGTTCCCAGTGAACCTGTCCAACAGCAGCCCATTAGAGCCGCAGACTTGGATGAGGGAGCTGGATCTTTTCATCTGCTCTGTGCCTCTTTTGATCTGTGTCAAAGGGCCAGGACATTTTTGCATGCATGCTGTATCTGTTTCAGCCTCCTGGCCTCCCCAGGGAAACAGCTTGCTCTTAGAGACTTTGGTTCCTACCTTCCTTGGGACTCTCTGGGTGGATCTTGGCCATCTGTGGCTGAGTGGTATATCCATGGTCTAACTGGACCCTGGCTATTCCCACAGCTTGGTTTGCTGGTTGACTTCTCTCCAGACGGCCTGATGATCCCCGAGGATGGGGTAAATGATGAGGAGCTGGAAGCTGAGTTCCTGGCCTTGGTGGGGGGTCAGCCCCAGGCCCTGGAGAAGCTCAAAGGCAAAGGTGAGATGCTGAACACATTCATGAACATTTTTAGATCTCCCTTAGTGGGCTATGCTGGGAGCCAGGCACTGGGCGGGGGGCAAAGATGACAGAAACGTCCCTGGCCTTCCTGGAGCTTAGGGTCTGGGTGACAGTGAGGGATCAACAGAATACAGCCTGGAGGTTTGAAGCACAGCTCTGCCACTTCCTCATCAGCTTGCCTATTGGCCTTGCCTTTCCCATATACAAAACAGGAATAATAGTTGTGCTTACGTCACAGGAGTTAATTTTCCCAAGTTTGTACAGCACTTCCTAAGGGCCATGTGACAGTAAATACATGTTATAAGCTGGGCGTAGTGGCGCACGCCTGTAGTCCCAGCACTTGGGAGGCAGAAGTAGGCGGATCTCTGTGAGTTCAAGGCCAGCCTGGTCTATATAGTAAGTTCCAGGATAGCTGGGGCTATAGAGAGACCCTGTCTCAAACAGAGCCAGTATCCATGGATAAAGTTCTGCTACAACACAGCTAATAAATAAATAAATGTTATAATCAGTCCTGATCTGAAACCTGCCATTCCATGATCAAGGCTGGGGTGGGGACGTACAGAGCCATGCCATGACTGACATGATTTGGGGTAGGATTCCAAAGGAAGCGCCCACGAGGGGGAGAACTGAGTAATGACTGGGCAGCACTTCCAGGAGGAGTCTCAGTAGGTGCAAAGGCTCTGTGGTAGATGGCAGGAGGCCAAGGACCCTGCAATAATTGAGTGGAGTTGGAGCCCAGAGGCCAAACAAAGCCTTTAAACATTGTACCTAGCACAGCCAGCCCTCATCATTTGTGTGGTTCTCATTTATGAATTGGCTAGTTGGTAAACTTACTTGTCATCCCCAAACTAGTACTAACCCTGTTTGTGGTCATTTATGGACACCCAAAGCATGGTGAGGAGTCTGAGACGCCTGCATGTGAGGTGGCTCAGAGGGTAAAGGCACTTGCTGCCAAGTGTGATGACCTGAGTTGGGTTCAAGAACTAAATTATCCTTTGACCTCCATAAATGGGCTGTGGTACACACACACACACACACACACACACACACACACACACACACAAGAATAAATGTTTTTTTTCTAATTTCTTTTGGTCTTTTTGAAACAGGGTCTCAAAAAGACCAAAAAAATAAAATAAAATAGAATAAAGTAATAAATTAAAAATAAAAGTAGTGACCAGAGGCCCACTGGAGCCTTAGCTGTACTTTTCAGTAGTCACCAAGTCAGTCGCTTATGAACATGTCTTCTGTAAACAAGAACCATGCCAGCAAGACACCACCAAATGGCCCCTTGGATCTGTGGTTTTGCTTTCTGTAATTTCACTTACCAGTGTGGCGGTATTAATGAAAAATTCCAGAAGTGAATTGTGACTAAACTAAATTGCATGAAGTTGTGAGTAGTAGGATGACATGATCCAGTCTAGTGACGTCTCTCCTGTCCAGTGTATCCACACTGTATACACCATACTCCTGATAGTAATCTCTTGGTTGTGTTGTTATCTGATCAGCTGTCTGAGAATCACAGGGCTTCTATTCTAGTGGTCTTCATTTTGCTTAATTGGCCCCAAGTGCAAGACTTGGGATGCAAAGAAGGTACCAGGGCACAAGCCATGGGAGGAAGGTATGCTGCATGTGGTGCAGGGCTTGCAACTATCTTCAGTTTCAGACCTCTCCTGGGGGTCTTGAGACAGGTGTTAGTCTGAGGATGAGGCAGGGATGACGGTATGTTGTTGCTGCTCTAAGAATTTAATGTACCTATAGTCTCCATACCCTACCTGAGAGGAGCTGTTAAGTGGTCCCTATCCTAACAGATGGCGAAGCTGAAGCCAAGAGAGGTGAAGTAACTTGCCCAGGGTCACACAGTGAGAAAATTACAGAGCTGAGGTTTGAACTCAGCACGGCTGGCCCTCAAATTGAACCTAGAGAGGGAAGAGATGAGTGCTGGGAGGTTGGTGTTGGTGGCACCAGCCTGGAAGGGCTCAAAGACAGGGTGCCACAGTGGACAGGAAGGGAGATCTGCTGTCCTGTTGCTGGCTGTGCTGTTCTTTAGGGCTTTGAGTGTGGGGATGAGAGGCCAAGTACTCTGAGGGGATCCTACTCTACCCGGCCTCTCCTTGCTGCCAGGTCCCCTGCCGATGGAGGCTATTGAGAAGATGGCCCGGCTCTGCATGAGAGACCCGGATGAGGATGAAGAGGGGACGGACGAGGATGACGTAGAGACTGATGAGGACCTGCTGGTGAGCACTGGGCTAGGACAGGCAGCAGTGTATCCTCCCACTGCCCTGTCCAGCACCCCCATATCCTACTCTGGCCTTGCATCCCTGCAGGCAGAACTAAATGAGGTCCTTGGAGAACCAAAGGCTATGGAGACCACGCTGCCTGTGACTCAGGTACACCTCCCATAAGACACACACACACACACACAGCCTGGAGTTTAAGGCTCACCATTCCCCCTATCAGCATGTGACCTCAGGTGGGGACCTGCTACACCCAATTCCTTCTAGAGACTGATGTCTGCCTCACTAGGGGTGCAGAAGATTGGTCTAGGTATAGTGTGTGTTCATGGGAGGAGGGCTGGCCAGGGTGGCCTGAACGGGGACACTACCCACACTGAGCCCCCGGCCCTCCCATAGCCAAAGCCTATGGGCCCCAACCCCGGGGTGGAGGCCACATTGCAGGAGAGGCTCATCCTGTATCAGGCTGCAGTGGAAAGCGCCAGGCAAGCTGGGGATGGTGCCAAGATGCGGCGCTATGACCGAGGGCTCAAGGTGAGCAGGCAAAGACAAGGCGCTGGGATCCCACATAGACCCCTAAGAGCACCCACCTCCTGCCTCCTCCTGAACCCATCCTCACATCCTGTCCCAGACACTGGAAAACTTGCTGGCCTCTGCTCAGAAGGGCAACACCATTGATGAAGGGGACATCCCTCCACCTGTGGCCTTGGGAAAAGGACCAGCAGCCACACCCAGCCACCCCACTCCTCCATCCCCCCAGCTGGCACCTATGAACCTGCCAGTCCCAGAGCCTAGGGTCACCTTGGAGGCCCCATCTGCCATCCCACAAACCTCCACCAAGCGTCAACTGCCCTCAGGTAGGTGGCAGGACAGGCTTGTTACTCAGGCTGAGTTCAGTCTCTGGAACCCATGTAAAGGTTGAAAGAGAGAACCAACTTTACAAAGTTGTCTGACCACCACATGCATGCTATGGCACATAAACACACATACATCATGTACACATATACTAACAAAACAGTAGTTAATTAAAAAAAAAAATTTGTATGTAAGTGCACCCATGTTATGCATTGCCAATGGAGGTCAGAAGGCATCAGATGCCCTGGAATTTTATAGTTAGCCACCAGGTGGGTGCTGGGAACCGAACCCTGGTCCTCTGCACATCCAGTGCTCTGAGCCATCTCTCCAACCCCAAATTTTAAAAATTTTACAGAGATGGCCGGGCGTGGTGGCGTACACCTTCAGTCCCAGCACTCGGGAGGCAGAGGTAGGCAGATCTCTGTGAGTTCAAGGCCAGCCTGGTCTACATAATGAGTTCCAGGACAGCTGGGGCTACAGGGAGATCCTGCCTCAAAAAAACAAAAAAAAAATTTTTAAAGAGAAAATGAAAAAAATGATTAAGGCAGTAAGTCTTATTATTTTGCGACAATTAAAAAAAAAAAAAGGAGTAAATACTGATGAGCTTCCAATCACTGTTTCTTTACATTTATCTACATGTTATGGAGGTCATGATGTGCCACAGCATTCATGTAAGATCAGAGGAGAGTCCTCAGGAGTTGGCGCTTCCCTTCTAACATATGGGTCTCAGAGATCAAACTCAGATCATCAGACTGGATGGCAGGCACATTACTTGATGAACCATCTGACTAGAAAGGCTCTTTTTGGGACCAGAGGGGTGGCTCAGTGGTCAAGCAGTCACCTAGCATGTTGGGGCCCTGGGTTCCCTAGTACCCAAATCCCCAGAAACCATAAAGAGAACAGGTTGGCTTACTAGCAATCTTTTAAAAATGCTTATAGTTGTTAAGGCACTGAGTGGCAACCTTGGCAACATTTTAAATTTAAGATGAAAACTGAGATGCCAACTTAAAAAGGCTTCCTAAGGTTTTCCAAAATTCTCCTGGGGACAAAACTCCAATGACTTAGAGCTTCCAGACCTGGGGTCAGATTTTCTTAACACCCCCTGCAAGTATGTCCTCTGTGAGCCTCTAGGTCCTATCTGTAAAATGGGCCCAGAACCATCTTGGTTGTGAGAATCAAATGGACATGGCTTGTATGGTGAACCTGGCCTAGGCTTCCTGTGTTATTTGTCTCTCTAGGCCCCTGCAGCCCTGGCCCCCTGGCCCAGTTGCAGAGCCGCCAGCGTGAATACAAGCTGGCTGCCCTCCAGGCTAAGCAGCAGGGTGACACTGCTACAGCTGCGAGACACTTTCGTGTGGCCAAGGTATGTCCAGACCCCTAGACAGGGCTGGAGGCAGAGTGCTTCCAGCGCTGAGTCAGAAAGGCCTCATGTGAATCCTGGCTTGCCTCCTCGGTCCCTCGCTCTAGTCAGCTGTTAGACTCTTAGAACCTCAGTAGATATCCTCTGTGCACAGGGCATCAGTGTTGCTAGACCATGCAGAAGGTCACCTCAGGGTGGGGCAACCCTGTGCTGTAGAGCAGGTATATGGCACCCCTTGGGGTCTTGCCCAGCTGCGGCCTCCCCCTCATCTATCTTCCTTCTCAGAGTTTTGATGCTGTCTTGGAGGCCCTGAGCCGAGGGGAGCCAGTGGACCTGTCCCACGTGCCCCCTCCACCTGGTAAGGACCCCCATCCTGTGCCCCTCCCTGTTTGTCTGCCAAGTCCTCCCTGGTGCTGCCAGAGGTCATCACTGGACTGGGTCTCTCTGTCCCCAGACCATCTGTCTTCAGAGCCCCCGTTGCCAGCAGCTCTGCCTCCAACTCCTGTCTCAGCCCCCATCACACCAGGTAGGCTACTAGGACCCTCTGGGGTCAGCAGGCTGGGTCAGTGGCCCACTTACCTAGACCCTTAACCTGCACCTCACCCCTTCTGACCCAGAGGTTCCCCCACCCCCACGGAGCCTGCTGGAGGCACTGGAGCAGCGGATGGAGCGGTACCACATAGCTGCAGACCAAGCCAAGGCCAAGGGCGACCAACGGAAGGCGCGCATGCATGAGCGCATTGTCAAGGTGTGCAGGGGGCCAGGCGGGCGCCCTGAGGACCTCTCTCAGGTCCCCTAACACCTCTGTGCCCTGCAGCAATACCAAGACGCCATCCGAGCTCACAAGGCAGGCCGAGCTATGGATGTGGCAGACCTGCCAGTACCCCCAGGTAGGCTATACCCCTGGGTAGACCCCACCCAGGTAGACCTCATGCCAAGCAGGCTCTACTTCCAGGTAGACCCCATGCCAGGTAGCCTTCACCCCTAGGTAGACTCCAGGTCAGGAAGACTCCACCCCCAGGTAGACCCCATGTTAGGTAGGCACCACTCCCAAGTAGGCTCCAACAGAGATAGGCCCCCACCCCTCTCTGCCTCTGGGCCTTTGCTGGTACTGTTCCTCCTAATGGACCTACTCATGCAGCCTGTAGCCTGACACATTCAGGAATTTCACAAGCCTCTTCAACAACCCAAGTGAAGTCAGTAGTGATAGAATATTTATATCAGGAAAATGGCAAGCATTTAATTAGGTGGTAGTTTTGGAGAGCCTTTTCTACCCTCAGACTGTCTCTGTCTCTATTTTGCTTCATTCACTCCTGCCAAATCAGGGCTTTGGCTTTCCAGAATCTTCCTAAACCTCCTACTAGCCTTCAGTGAGGTAGAAATCTCTAGGTTCTCAAAGCTGACCACATGTCCCTTATGGGAGCAGTTCTCGTTCACATCTGGGAGCAGTTTCAGGCCCACTTCTTCTCAGAGTCTGTTGTAATCTAGCCAAAACCTAGAAGTCCAGTGAGGAAGAGAGTGGCCTGGGGAAGGGAGGATACAGATCAGTAGTAGAGCACTGACCTAGTATGCATAAAGCTCCAGGTTCCATCTTCAGTCTGCAAAAAACAATAAAGCTGGCTGGTCCCATACCTGTAATCATAACTAACTCAGGAGGCTGAGGCAGGTGGATCACAAGTTCAAGGCTAACCTGGGCTATATAATGAGACCCTATCCCAGAAAATCAACAAAATCAAAGATCTGAGACTCTAGTGGGAGGAGGGATTGATGTCTCCCCCACAATAGGGGGAGGGCACTCTGACCAGGTCACCCTCCCGCCCAGGCTTCCCCCCCATCCAGGGCCTGGAGACTGCAGAGCCCACCCAGCAGAGCCTGGTGGGCGTCCTAGAAGCTGCCATGAAGCTGGCCAACCAGGATGAAGGCTCAGAGGAGGACGAGGATGAGACACTTAAGAAGGTACGAGGGGCCGGGCATGGTAATGCACGCCTGTAGTCCCAGCACTCCAGAGGCAGAGACATGCAGATCTCTGAGTTCAAGGCCAGCCTGGTCTACATAGTGAGTTCCAGGACAGATGGGGCTACAGGGAGACCCTGTCTCAAAAAGAAAAAGAAGCTTCTTTGATGGGTGGTCACTGGGGGATCCTTTGGGATCCTTGTCTGTAAATTTAAGGATTTTTTTTTTTTTTTGGTCTTTTTGAGATAGGGTCTCCTTGTATCCCCAGCTGGCCTGGAACTCACTATGTAGATCAGGCTGGCCTCAATCTCACAGAGCTCTGTCTCTGCCTCCAGAGTGCTGGGATTAAAGGCATGCACCACCATGCCTAGCCATATTCTATTATTTTTGAATTTATGACCCTTTACATGAGACCTTGCAAAGGATACAGAGATAGGTCTTTGGTGTTAGGTCCTGACCACAGGGAGGGAGTCATCATGGGCCCTGGGAACACCCTGACTTCTCTCTGTCCCTATGCAGCAAAACAGCTCCACAGCCCCCACAACCCAGCCAAAGGCCCCTCCTTCCAGGGCTTCCACATCAGGACCAGTCTCAGCAGGCAAAGCAGCCCCCAAGGGTACATCTACCAGGGGTAAGTACCCACCCACATAGGCTGTCTGCTGGGCTGATCCCATGGGCTGTGCAGCTCCCACTGAAACCTCTTCACCCCTAGCCCAACAACAGCTGGCCTTCCTGGAGGGCCGTAAGAAACAGCTCCTGCAGGCTGCGCTGCATGCCAAGCAAAAGAATGATGTGGAGGGCGCCAAGATGCACCTGCGCCAGGCCAAGGGGCTAGAGCCCATGCTGGAGGCCTCACGAAATGGGCTGCCTGTGGACATTACCAAGGTGAGCCCTCCAGACCCAGGCAGACTGCCCCTTATTACCCATGTGACCTGGAGTATATTGGTTAGCATCCAGGCTAAGCTGCTGTGACAAATAGCCCTCTCAAGACAGCAACTGAAAAAAGACTATTTCCTGCACTCAGGACAGGCCGGTCTCTACAACAGGATTCCCGTGAGGGCCAGGCTCCTTCCTTTTTTACCTTTGTCCCTTTCTAGGGTCCTACACAGATTCATATGACCCAAGTGAACCCTGCCTCCTACCCATGGAAGGGATGGAGAGAAAAGGGCAGAGTGGTTTCTCTGAAAGGAAATTACATCACTTTTACTTGTCTTCTATTGGCCAGAACTAGTCACATGGCCACACCTAGCTGCAAAGGAGTCAGGGACTTGTAGTTTCTTGCTGGCATGCTGTGTGTCTTTACTATGGAAGAGGCTCCAACACCTAGAGACAATGAATGGATTCTGCCACTTCAGGCATCCCCATTGACTTCACTTAGCATCATTTTTGTCTTGAGACATGAGGACAGTGACTCCTGCCTCAGAGAGACTCATACAGGATCTGTCCAGGGCCTTATATGATGGGACAGCAACATCCATCACAGAACATCTGTGAGGAGCACACACTGAGCGCTGGGAACATGATGTTGATCAAAACAGACATATCCTCACTTTTGTGGGGCACACATTCTAGCTGGGGAGACTAGAGGCACACAGGTCAATCCAGGGCTTTACTGTGACTCACAAGGTCTTAATGGTCTGTGTCATCCCCTCTCCCTCTCCTTTGTCCTCTGACACCAGCCATACTCTAGCCTCAGGGCGTTTGCCCATCCCATTCTCACCAGAATGCTCTCCCTGCCCCCAGATGCCTGTTTGGCTCTTAGTCCTTTACTGTGACTCACAAGGTCTTAATGGTCTGTGTCATCCCCTCTCCCTCTCCTTTGTCCTCTGACACCAGCCATACTCTAGCCTTAGGGCGTTTGCCCATCCCATTCTCACCAGAATGCTCTCCCTGCCCTCAGATGCCTGTTTGGCTCTTAGTCTCTTTTTTTTTTTTAGATAGAGTTGCACTATTTACCATAGGCAAGCCTTGAACACTCTATGTAGCCCAGGCTGGTCTCAAACTCAGTCCTCCTACATCAGCCTCTTGAATGCTGGGATTACAGGCATGTGCCACTATGTCTGGTTGTCTCTAGTCGCTGCTATATCCATAGTCCCCCGCCCCAAAGCAGGACCTGCACATATCCAGGGCCACACAGTGCCTTGAATGCACAAAAGCTGGTTTCATTATGTCAGACTGTGGAGGGACTGAGAGGAAAGGCCAGGGACAGGAGACAAAGCGGTGGGCAGGGAAGATACCAGAGCCCCAGGTGGTTGCTGCTAGCCAGCCAACAGGCCTGAGCTCCCTAGCCTCATCCTCCACAGGTGCCACCTGCCCCAGTCAACAAGGATGATTTTGTACTGGTGCAGCGGCCTGGGGTGGGCCTATCTCAGGAGACTGCAAGGCGCTATGGCGAACTCACCAAACTCCTGAGACAACAGCATGATGTGAGGCCTCACTGTTCCTCTCCAAGCTCCTCTACTCCCATCCTGTCCTCCCAACCTCTATCCTGCCCCCCCCGCCCCAATTCCAGCCTCCCAGCCCCTAGCCTGTCCCTCCAACCCAGCTTCCCAACCACTATTCTTCCCTCCATCCTGGCCTCACAACAACCCTCATTCCACAACCCCCATCCTGGCCCCCATCCCAGCCTCCCCACTTCCATCAAGGCCTCCTAACCCCTATCCTGGCCCCTCACCATCCTGGCCTTCCAACAACACCCCCCTGGTTCTCCGCACCATCCTCATTAATTTCCCCTGCAGATGTGTCTGAGCCACTCCTCCCAGTTCACCCACCTGGGAAACATCGCTGAAACCAGCAAGTAAGTTCTCTGCCCACCAGTGCCTGCACCATGAGTACAGCACTGGCCAGGACTCTGAGCAGCACACTCTCTTGAAGGTTTGAGAAGCTGGCAGAGGACTGTAAGCGGAGTATGGATACCCTGAAGCAAGCCTTTACCCGGGGTCTGCCCACACCCACTGCCCGCTTTGAGCAGAGGACCTTCAGTGTCATCAAGTAGGGCCCAGAGCCCCCTGGCTGGGACACCTCTTGGGAGGGCTCAGTACTGCCTGAAAAGCTGCTACAGGACTGGCCTCTGGGCAAGGTTTGGGTAGATGGTGGGAAAACAGATACACAAAGGCCCTGGGGTAGCCCTCTGGTGCCATAGTGGCTAAAGCACTAACTGATACTTTGGGGATACTAAAAAAATAATTATGAAATGAAAGGAAGGGGATAGGGATATAGCTTAGTTGGTAGAGTGTATGCATGAGGCCCTGGATTCCATCTCCAGCACCTCATAAACCAGATGTAGAACATGCATTTAATCCCAGCCCTCAGGAGGTAGAGACAGGAGAACCAGAAATTCAAGGCTAGCCCTTTTTGGCTACATAAGTGAGTTTGAGGCCAGCCTGGGCTACATGAATGGAGACTCTATCTCAAAGAAAGAAAGGAAGGAAGGAAAAGAAAGAACTTTCCTCCAGCAGCTAGTGCCTGGCTGGTACTTAGTAGGAGTCAGAGAATATTAAGTAGAAGGAACAGCTAAGACACTGCCAGATGTATAGTAGATGTTCAAATAAAACTATCAAATGAGGTCCAGTAAGGTGGGTGAGCAGGTAAAGGTGCGTGCCACCAAGCCTTATAACCTGAGTTCAATCTCTGGTCTCACATGTTGGAAGGAGAGAATTGACTCCCAAAAGTTGTCCTCTGTCCTCCACATATATGCTATGTCATACATGCATGTGCATACACACATGCATAAAATAAGTAAATGAATAAATATAAAAATTAAAAATAGGTAACAAATAAATATTCATACCATGCAGAGAACATAGGACTTAGGCAGGGGTCAGTCTGATTCTATACCCTGAGCCCAGACACCCCCAGTCTGGAGGGTTCCCTGCCCCACTGAAGAAATTAGAGGCTGCAGGCATAGGACTGAAGTGCCTGCCTCTCTTTCTGCCTACTGGAAGGATCTTTCCGGACCTGAGCAGCAATGACATGCTCCTGTTTATTGTAAAGGGTGTCAACCTGCCCACACCCACAGGTGAGCAGCAGCCCAGATGTACCCCTAACCCTCTACCCCCAGCCCCCTACCACTACCCCCCTACCCAGCTCTCATCCTTATCTGCTCACAGGGCTGTCTCCCAGTGACCTGGATGTCTTCATCCGGTTTGACTTCCCTTATCCCAATGTGGTAGGTGGGAGCTGCCTGGGCCAGAGGAGGAGGCAGGGCAGGCAGGAGTCCAGGTCAGCCCTGAGCGCTGACTGTTGCTGCCTGTTCTCCAACATAGGAAGAAGCTCAGAAAGACAAGACCAGCGTGATCAAAAACACAGATTCCCCTGGTGAGCCAAGACAGGTGTCCTGGCCTCACCTTGCCCTCTGTAGCAGAAAACCTAAAAACAGGATCAGAGGTGGTGGGAGAGGGGGTGCATCTCAGTGGTATAGCCTAGCATGCACAAACCCTGGGCTTCATCCTCAGCACCCTCAAAGATAAAATAAAAGTCTGGGGGATAGCTCAGTGGGTGAAGTACTTCCTGTGCAAGCATAAGGATTTGAGTTCAAATCCCTAGGTCCCCCTTAAAGCTGGGCATGGCAGCATGTATATGTGATCCCAGCATTCCTACCCTGAGATGGAGGGTGGAGGACAAGAGAGTCTTGGGGGCTTATAGTCCATTTAACCAAGAGTGTGCAGCAGCACAGAACAAGACCTTGTCTCAAACAAGGTTGGAGGCGAGGACTGACACCTGAGGTGGTTCTGTGACCTCTGTATGCATGTGCACATGTGCGTACGCACCTGCACACACAAACATGGACATACACACATATTATATATACCCAACATGCACACGCATATATGCACACAAATAAAAGGCCAGTGTCTGAACCCATACACCCAGCCTCCTATCTTGCCTCCTTCCTTCCTTGTATAGAATTCAAGGAGCAGTTCAAACTCTGCATCAACCGCAGCCACCGTGGCTTTCGAAGGGCCATCCAGACCAAGGGCATCAAGTTTGAAGTGGTCCATAAGGGGTGAGCAAGGGTCACCAGCACCAGGCAGGCTCCTGGGGAGTGGAGCTGCCTACCAACCATCATACTGCCGTACATACAGGGGGCTGTTTAAGACTGACCGCGTGCTGGGCACAGCCCAGTTGAAACTGGACACACTGGAGACAGCATGCGAAGTCCATGAGATCCTCGAGGTGAGAGGCGAGCTTCCATTCACTGTATGCTTGGCCCATATATACCCAGCATCCCGGTCTACTGTGGCCATTGGTGTCCCTGACGTTTCCACGGGTGCCTATGTTGGGAATTGTTGCCTCTTGCCTACAATGCCCCCTTCTCACTCCCTCTCTAGGTCCTGGATGGTCGCAGACCCACGGGGGGCCGTCTTGAGGTAATGGTCCGGATCCGGGAGCCTCTGACAGCCCAGCAGTTGGAGACCACAACTGAGAGGTGGCTGGTCATTGACTCCCTACCAGCAGCTGTACCCACAGTGAGTCCCCTGCCCATTGTCCATGCCTGGGATGGGGACTGGGGTCAGGGAACCCAGTACTCACAGGACTGGCTCTCTGCTTTAAAGCAGGTCACTGGGCCCAAAGGGAAGGTGCCTCCTGTGCCTGCCCCTTCGAGGGAGCCAGGTAACAGGTAGGTCTGGGCCGGGCCATGCTACAGTAAATCCTCTTCATCCCTCAGCCCCTTTTATGGTTTCCATCAGGACCATGTCCTTATCCAGCTTCAAAACCATTCCTGCCATCCCTTCTCATGGGGGATTTGGTTTAAAAACCTCAGCTATCAAGCTTTAAGACCTTTTGTGATCTGAAAATTATCAACTTATCTAGGCTCCTCTTTCTTCACTCTGTCCTTCCTGTTGGTTCATGGACATGTCTACTTTTCCTCTCTCGCACTCTCCTCCCTGTCTCCCCATCTTCATCCATCATTCCCCCTCCCCTTTCTCAGATAATCTCACTGTGTAGCCCAAGCAGGTCTCAAACTCATGATTCTCCTATCTCAGCTTCACACGCTGGGATGACGGGCATGCCCTAGCACCAAGTCTACTTTTCCCTGACCTCTGGGCTTCTTGAGGCTGTGAGGTCCCCTAGCCCACCCTTGCACCCTACTTCTCTGCCTGACTGGTTCCTTTGGGTCCCCACTACTTCTTCCAGGGAGCATTCCTGTCCTGTAGTTGTCACAGTGCCCTGAGTGCAGGCCTTACCCCCACAGACCTAGCAGTACTGGGGATCACCTCCCTGTCTTTTAAATGGGCACAGTAAGTTGAGTGAGGATCCCTGCAGCCCCTCATCCCCTTCCTTACCCTGTAGATCCTCACGGCCCCTGCACAGCCTCAGTGTGCTGGCCTTTGACCAAGAGCGACTGGAGCGGAGGGTGAGTGCTTGTCTCACTGGGCTCCATACGGTGGGACTAGGTTGGTTTGAGAGAGCCAGGTCAGCTCACAACCCCCTCTACCCTCCAGATCCTGGCCCTGAGGCAGGCACGGCGACCTGTGCCCCCAGAGGTGGCCCAGCAGTACCAGGATGTGGTACAGCGCAGCCAATGGCAGAGGGCACAGCTGGAGCAGGGGGGTGCTGGCCTCCGAAGGGGTAAGGGCCAAGGTTACTGGGGAGAGGGTGTATCTGGTGGGGAGAGACCCATGTGCAGGGGGGAGGAACTAGGGAAGGGCTAGAAATCCCAAGAGACAGTGAAAGAGTGGTTACTAACAGCAGCCTGGCCTTGATGGCCTGGCCCTGACCCTGCTACCACCCTTAGAATATGCAGCCCATCTGGAACGCCAGCTGCACTTCTATACAGAGGCCGCCAGACGCCTGGGCTATGATGGCAGCAGGGTGAGCTGGGCTTGTGGGGTGGTTATCGGGTGTGTGAGGTGGGGCAGGCCTCACTGTGGATTAATCACCCGTTTCCCCAGGAGGCAGCGAAGGAAGCACTGTATCGGCGGAACCTGGTGGAGAGCGAGGCAAGTGGCTACAGAGGCTGGGTGGGGGTGGTGCATGCAGTAGTGGTAATTCCCTGACCCTCAGTCTCTCCTCTAGCTGCAGCGACTCCGCAGGTGAGCCCATCAAGACACACAGAGCTTTGGGGCCACCAGTCAGACAAGCAGACAATCAACGGACAGTTGGTTCTGGACTCACCCTATCTAGGCGTCAGCCCAGCTCCAGACCCCTGGCAGGAGCATTGGGACTGTACCCCTCAACTGGGCCTGGCTGGTTGGGGCCTGGAGAGTCCTGTTTGCACATCCAGGGCCATCTGGAGCAGGGAGGGTAGCTGGGACACAAGCCACAAGGACCCCTTCAAGCACTTTACTTCCTGCCCCTCCCCAGCCTTAACCCCAGAGCCCTCCCACACCCCAAAGATGCCTCTAGTTGGCAAGCCCTGCTGGCTCCCCAGGGGCTATGCTGACCTAGCTAGGCCCCAGGGCCAATACAAAATAAACAGCCAAGGCCACACCTGGCTCAGCTCTGTCTTTATGTTTCTTGGTCCAGCTCTCAGTGGCCAGGCTGGGCCTCCCCACCCAGCCCCAGTCCTGAGGGGGATGAGGACAGGCCAGTACTCTGCATCAGAAGGGTGTGTGTGTGACTTGCACACTGCACTATTCTGAGAGGTTGTGTGCCTGTCACCCTGCCTCTTCAGTAGGTGACTTCCACAGTAAGGCTGATCACTGTAGGCTGCTATTTGGTGGCCCATGTGTCTCAGGCCTTCCATGTCTAGCTCCATCTGCCACTGGCCATGGTACCAAATTGCATGACTTAGTATCCTAGATCTTAGTATCCTAGTTTCCCCACTTGGATTTGAACAGAGATGGCTCTTCATTTGGGTGCATGGAGGGGATAGGGTATAGCCCACAGAAGACCCTGGGTTCCATGTGAGCGTGGAAAGGAGGCCACTTTATTTTTCCATCTCCATCTGTGTTGGAGGGACAGGGAGTATCTGTGTCCCTAGAATTTTCAGGCCATCATGCTTCCTAATTCAGTCCCTTCCTTGAGCCTTCAAGAAGGTGGCACAGCAGGCCCAGCTTCCGAGGGCCCCAGGCTATAGCTGAAAGCTTCCTTAGTCCACAGTCCATTGGAGCTCAGATCAGGGCCATAGCTAGCCTCGTGGCTGAAGTGGGGCTGTGGGTGGCAGCTGGACTAGGACCTGTTCTGGGTTATCTGCAGTGTCTACCATGCGTAGGTGCACCAGCCCCAGGAAGGCCTCAGCCGAGATGCTTGTCATATGGAGCCTGTTGGTCCTGTGCAGAGGCTGGATGTGAGATCAGTGAGGCAGAAGAGCAGCTGTCACCATCCAGACCCTCCCCTATCCCTCACCTGAGAAAGAGGGCACGCAAATGGGGTGTGCTGACGAAGGCCTCCGAGCCCACGTGACTGATGCGGTTACCCTGCAGGTGTAGCTCTTCCAGGGCCTCGGGCAGGTCAGGGGGCACAAATGATAGCTCATTGTGGCTTAGGTCCAGCACCTGACAGTGGGCAGACAGCATCATGGCAGCCCCAGGGGCTGGGCCTGTCAGCTCAGCAGCTTCTAGCTCCTCTCCTTCCCAGGGCTCTGGCCTCTTCCATGACAGCTCAGCCACTTTGCTCCCCCCTCCTCCCCTTTATGGTTGCCAAATTCTTTCACTTGGTAGACAGCCCTTCACTTGAGTCCCCGGGTCAGGGTCTTTTCTACCTGTTGAGGGGTGGAGGGTATGTACAGGCAGACCTGGTCTCTACCTAACTCAACAAATCACAGAATGTGAAGATGGTACCTCCTTACTGTCCTCACCCACATCCTTGGTTTTCTCTTTGCTTCTTCCTCCTTTCCCTCCCTCCCTCCCTCCCATCCCTCTTTCCCTTCCTTTTTCTCCCTCTCTCTCTCTTCCCCTCTTCCTCCTCCTCCCCTCCTCTCTCCCTTTCTGTAGCCCCTGCAAGGCTTCCAGCTCAACAGTCCTGCCTCAGCTGGGGGGCTGAGTGCCATCACCACTATGCCCAGCTCTGCCTCTCATCTCCTATTACTTTTATCACTTCCCTGTGGCTGTCCTAGATGGTTTTTCCTCTAAACTGGATGTTCTTGAGGGACAGGAACTTTGTCCTAGGCCCATCTGTGTTGTTGCCAGTCCCTAGTGCTCACAGTCACCCTGGGTGGGATGGGGAGTTCTCTGAAGCCCCCAGAAGTCAGGTCTTCCACCAGGAAGTGTATGCCAGTCTGTCTTAGCTTGGGCTGCCCACATGGGGCTCAGTAGCATTCTAGGACCTTAGAGCCCGGGAGGAGTTGGCCCTACGGTGGTGGAGTGGAGATGGTCACTGGGACCCTCCCTAACGGCCATTGTAGCTAACCCCTGACCTGCAGTGCCTGCAGCTCGTGCCAGGTGCCAGGCCCTATGTCGCCGACGCGGAGCTGGTTGTGCGCCAGGCTGAGCTCCCGCAGCTGATCCAGACCAGCCAGCATCTCAGGCTCCAGGGCCCTCAAGTGGTTGTGCTGCAGCCGCAGTTCGTGCAGACTGGTAGGCAGGCCTGCGGGCAGCCGGCTCAGCTGGTTGCCAGCCAGGTCGAGGCTGCGCAGGGTGCGTAAGCGGCGGAAGGCCCGCGGATGGACGCGCGCGCTGGCCAGGTGGTTGTAGGCCAGGTTGAGCTCCACCAGGCCCCGCGTAGAGGCCAGATCACGGGCACCCAGTGCTGCCACGCGGTTGTGCGGCATTATCAGGGCCCGCAGGCGCCGGGGCATCGTGGGCGGGACGCGCTGCAGCCTGTTGCCATAGAGGTGCAGCGTGTGCAGGCTCCGCAACGGCTGCAGCGCCCCTGCTGGCAGCCCCGAGGCCCCCAACTCGTTGTGCTGCAATAGCAGGTAGCGCAGGCCCCTTGCCACCCGCAACCGCGCTGCATCCACCTGCCGGATGCAGTTGCGACCCAGGTGCAGTACAGCCAGGGTCCGGGGCAGGCCTGCAGGCACGGTAGCCAGCAGGTTGTGAGACAGGTCCAGGTACTCCAGGCTGTGCAGCTTGCTGGTGGGAGAGAGGGGTGATGGACTGGTCGTCTCAAGAAAGGGACCCCGTAGATCTTACCCGAAATGCAGGGAAATGATCCCGGGCCTGATAGAGGCAGAGATAGGCAGAAATGCATATGGCAACAAGGAACCGGCTCAGGCGCCCATCTGGGATCCCAGCACTCATGAGGCTGAGCTAAGAGAATCATGATTTCCATGTCAGCCTGGACTACATATACTCAGGCTCTGTTTCAAAAATCAAGCGCTGGGACCTGGCTCAGTGCTAGAACTCCTGCCTAGAATCTCCTAGTGAACAGCTGGGGTTGGGGAAGTTAAGCAGTGGAGCACCTGCCTAGAATTCCCCAGAGAGTGGCTGGGGGTGTGGCTCAGAGGTAGAGCTCCTGCTGGCTTGGTGGTAGACTTGTTTCCTAGCATATGCAAGGCTCTAGGTTCCCTCTCTCCACCACAAAAACAAGAACTGTCAGGTAGTGGAACCTCAATATGAGTAGTATGGGACAAGGATGAACATGTGGCTAGTATGGTAGCCAGGGGAGCTGGGCAATGCAATAGGCACTCGCTAAATGAGGCCTTGAGTTAGGAGTCACACAAAGGAAGGACCAGACTGCAGTGGGCACACCTGAAGGTGGTCACATCCAGGCCACTGTCGGTTAATTGGTTATGCTGGAGGTACAGCTCACGAAGTTGAGTCTGGCGGCTTAATGCTCCTCTGGGCACTTTGGAGATAAGATTGTCCTGGAGAAAGAAGTGAATGAGATTGTCTGTGATGGAGGACACTGGGGAGACACAGAAAGTTCTTGAGCTTTTGAGTAAGGGAGTGAGGGCTTGCCTTGCTATGCAAGGCAGCGAATGTTTGTTTTTGTTTTTGACAGGGACTATAGCCCCAGCTGGTCTGGAACTGGCTATGTAGACCAGGCTGGCCTCAAACTCACAGAGATCTGCCTGCCTCCGCCTCCCAAGTGCTGGGATTATAGGTGTGCGCCACCACACCAGGCTAGATTTTTTTTTTTTTAAGTTTTTTTCAGCATCTGGAATTCTGCAGAGCAGCTTAGAAAGTACAGGAAGGGAGCAGGTAGAAGAGTCCCACAAGCCACAGGTTCTCACCTGTGCATGAGAACTGTGTGTGAGCCTGGGCCCAGGCAGGTGTGTGTCGGGCGGGGTACCTGCAGGTGAAGCTGCTCCAGGGACGCTGGCAGACCGGGTGGCAGGCGGCTAAGTTGGTTGCTGGAGAGACTCAGGGTGGTGATGGCCTCCGAGCCTCGAAAGGTGTTTGGTGGCAGGCCAGTGTTGCTTAATTGGTTGTTGTGGAGGTACACAGACCTGAGGGGGTTCAGGCTCCAGCCACCAGCCCTCATCCCCTGCCAACCCACTCACACCCACCATGCCCATACCCTATTAGCCCACACATCCACTGCCATCCCCAGCTATTGGCCCCCCAACTCCATCTAGGGCTGCCTGGAGCTCTTGCACAGGGGCTCTCACCCTTGACTGTACGCCAGTGCAGGAATGCCACATCTGCCCCAGTCTAAAGTTTTGACACAGTAGATGGGGCCCCATCTCACCTCTCTAATCCCTAGTTCAGGACCATATCCCCATTTCAGAACTAACCCCTAGAACTCCCCCAAAACAGAGCTGAGCCCCCTCTAAGCCCTAGCATAGAGCCATACTCCAGGACCCCCAGAACAAAGCTGAACCCCCCCCAGACCTTCCCTGAGCAGAGGCCTGAGTCCCTCTGACCTCTTGGGCAGGATCTTGGGATTGCAGGATGGGGACAGAGCTACAGCTACCTGAGCAGGGGTTTTTCTGCAAAGGTGAGCGGGAAGACCTCCACTACTTCATTGGCAGCCAGGTCAGCAACTCGCAGGGAGCGTGGCAGGAACTGGGGGGCCACTGTGAGCTGTGTGAGTAACAGCATCTGGTTCTAGTGCCATCTCCTGCCTCCCCCATGTACCCAGGTCCCGAGTGCTGGGTGACCCAGGTCAGGCTATCCGCCCTCTCTGGGCTGTGGGCTCACCTTGTTGTGGGCCACATAGAAGTGCTCTAGCTGGGTGAGGGACTCAAAGGCCTCATCGGGCAGGCCTGGGGGGTGGGGGACGCAGGGGGTAGTGGGTGAGGAGACTCCAGGCCTGAAGGTTGCAGGTTTGTGTTTCTAGCTGCCCCATTCCGAAGACTGGGGACTAGCAGAAGCTTCCAGGCATTCCAGGTCCCCCACATCCTGTCCTCACTCAAAATCCACAACCACCAAACTCCCAGCCCTCAAAATTCCACCGTGCTCAGCAAAGGGCAGTTGTGGAGACACCACAGAGCTGCCCACAGCCGGCAAGCAGGGGATCTGGAAAGAGCCTGGGGCATGCTCCCACCCCTGCCTGAGCCCTCACCCTCTGAGGAGATGAGGTTGCTGTGTAGGTCCAGGGTTTGCAAGCCGCTGAGGCGGGACAGCTTGTTGTAGGGGAGTTCCTGTAGTTGGTTGTTCTGCAGGGTGGGGTAGGGACCACAGCCTGACCTTACACCCTCAACTTATGATCTGAGTTGAGGGTGTAGCTCAGTGGGAGAACTTTGGCCTGGCACCCATGAGTCCCTGGCTTCATCCCCAGTACTTCCCCACAAAAAGAAAAACATCCCAGTCCCCAACACATATTACCCTGACCCCAAACAACCTTGAAACCTGAACCCTACAGGGCACTGGGCCCACTATCAACTATAATCCCACAGGCTGCTGTTTTGTTTTCATTTTTGTTTTTACAGGTTTTGAACCTGGGCTCTAACACCTCTTTAGAACATCTATCTGTCTATCTATCTATCTGTCTATCTATCTATCTATCTGTCTATCTATCATCTATCTATCTATCATCTATCTATCTATTCTTCTCCCCCTTTTTTTGAGACGGGGCCTCACTATGCAGCCCAGGCTGACCTCAAACTTGTGTTAATCCTCCTTTCTGCCTCAGCTTCCAAAGTGCTAGGATCACATGCATGTACCATCACACCAGGCTTTAATCTCAGCCCCAACACCCCATCACCCCACTGTCAGCCCCCAATACTCCCCTAATTGTCAAGATGATGACCCCCAACATCCCACATTGCCAGGAACTCCTCCACCCAAACAACCCCACAGCAGATAAGAAGCTGATCCCAAACTCTTAGCTTTTTTAAAACACCAATGTCTTACCCTTGTCTTAACCTGGCCTGGACAGACCCAAAGCAAGGCAAATTTGCCTCAGGCAGGTGGACCCCCCCACACTTGGACCCAAGCAAGGCCCCTGTGTTTGGGACCTCCAGACCCCACCTGTAAGGAGAGGTGCCTAACGGCCTTGGTAATGTTGTCTGGGAACACTTTCAGGTCCAGGCCAGCGCAGTCCACAGTGTCAGCACGGGGACAGGAGCAGCGCCAGGGACAGGCCCGTGGTGGGGGCTGTGAGCTGTCGCCCAGGTGGGGAAAGGCGGGGTCCTCCGTGCTGGTGGTGGGTGGATCCACCAGCAACAGCAACAGCAGCTGCAGTACCCCCAGCCACTGGGGTGGAGAGAGGGGTCAGTGCTGCCCAGCCCTGTGGGGGTTACCATGGCAACGACAGCATCCCTTCCTATGGGACAGGCTTGACTGACTAGCCAGCGATCACAGCTGGGCAGGTGACAGACAAGCCCAACCCTCAGACCCTCCCTGCCCACCTTAGCCAGACCTTACCATAGCCGGCCCAGCTCTGCCTCTTGCCCAAGCAGTAGGCCAGGACTTCCTCTTGCAACTAGCTGTCACCTCTTGGAGTTTCTGCTGTGACGGCAGTGGCCCTCCATCTCTCGGCATTGGACACACACACACACACACACACACACACACACACACGCTCAGTTCCTCCAGGGGCAAAGGGGTTGGCTACCCTCTTCTCCGCCCTAAAGAGGTCAGGCAGGCACTGGATGAAGTGATGAGGCTCAGCCAGCCCATTCGTGGGTTCACACCCTCCATTCCAACCACCCCAGTTCCACTTGTATAACCTCAGCCAGCCTGTACTGAGCCACAGGGATCAGGAATGTTTGAGGAAAAACTGAGATTCGCTCTGTCTGGTATTTGGGCCAGCCACAGGCAGGAGTAGGGGGAGGTATCAGAGGATCCCCAAGGAGATGAAGCCAACCAGATGGGGAGGCATGGGCTCAGCCTATCAGCCTGGAGACTGGAAGAGGACCACTGGGCCCCTCCTTATACCCCTCACTGGTGGCCACAGCCCACTCCCCAAATGGTCAGAGTTGTTTGGAAGGAAATTATATAATGGGAGGCACCAGCCTAGTGGCTGTGCCTGAGAATTGGGTGCAAGACTGCCTGTTTGAACCTAGATTCTGCTGCCTCTTCTGTGCCTCAGTTTCCATCTTTGTAACTGGTCATGGCTGTCTTCCCTCCTCATCATGAACATTAATGCAGCCAGAGGGGGTTGTGTGTGGCCCAGGCCTGCAATCCCAGGCCTAGTGAGGCTGAGGCAGGAGGATGAGTTGAGGTCAGCCTGGGCTACATAAGACCCTGTCTCAAAACTACATGTCAAATAGATGAAAAAAGACCTTCTTCCTCAAAGGGCCATCTGAGGAAACAAGTGGGCTGCAGAGATGACGCAGCTGTTAAGAGCGCTTGCTGCTCTTCCAGAGGACATGAGTTCAGTTCCCAGCACCCACACTGGATGGCTTACAACTGCCTGTAACTCCAGCTCCAGGACTGGACTCCTGAGACTCTCTTCTGGAGAGTCTTCTGGACGAGAGAGAGAGAGAGAGAGAGAGAGAGAGAGAGAGAGAGAGAGAGAGAGAGAGAATGTGTGTGTACCCTCTTCTGTGTGTGTACCCTCTTCTGGACTCTGGACTCTGAGAGTGTGTGTATGTGTGTGTACCCTGTTCTGGACTCTGAGAGTTGTGTGTGTCTGTGTGTGTGTGCACGCGCGCATGCTTTAAAGAAAAGGAAAGGCTGGGCATGGTGGCGCATGCCTTTGATCCCAGCACTTGGGAGGCAGAGGCAGGCGATCTCTGAGATCTCTGAGAGTTCAAGGCCAGCCTGGTCTACATAGTGAGTTCTAGGCCAGCTGGGGCTACAGAAAGACCTTGTCTCAAAAAGACAAAAACAAAAACAAAACCTCACAAAACAAAAAACAAAAGGAGGGAAAAGCAGCCAGAAGTTCTAAGAATGAGTTCTCAGCTCCAGGACTTGGGCCCAGAGTGTGACAGAAGATGCTCTCTCCCATAAGCAGAGCCTGAGACAAGGACTGAGGCAGCCATAGGCAGCCAGGAGAGGGAGTAAGCAACTAAGTTATCAATAGACCTGGAATGGAATTGTCTCACTTTTCTGCACTCAGAATCCTATTTCCAGAAGCTTTTTTGTTGTAGGCAAATTGGGGTGGTTGGTCACACCAGTTAGCAAGTATGTTCCCTTTATATGGGGCTGGCACTCAGTGCCATTGGGGAATACTGGGAAAATGAGTGGGACATGCATCTTAGGGTCACCCCATCTAGGGTATGGGTCTAGGGTACTGACTCACTGGCCTGGAACTCACTATGTAGACCAGGCTGGCCTCAACATCACAGAGATCTGCCTGCCTCTGCCTCCCAAGTGCTAGGATTAACAGTGTGTGCCACCATGCTCAGAACCACTGGGCCACACCCCTAGCACCTCACTGGGGGATTCTAGGCAGGAGTGGCTCTACCACTGAGCCACACCCCAAGTACCTCATTGGGGGATTCTAGGCAGGAGTGGCTCTACCTCTGGGCCACACCCCTAGCACCCTACTAATGGAGTGTAGGCAGGCCTTCTACTGCTCAGTCATGTTCCTAGCCCAGGATATAATGTTTGGATCTGACTTTTTCCATTTAAAACAGTGACTTTGACATTGATCCAGGTAGTGTGTATCTGTTCTTTTCCATTGCTAGCAGCACTGTTTATCTCATCTGGATGGACTTTTGGGATATTTTCAAACTGGCTTTCAAGTTGATTTGGGGGCTGAGGTATAACTCCATGGTACAGGGTTCCCTTAGTATGTGCAAAGCCCTAGATTCTTTCCTTAGCCTTACAAAAGTAAATGAATGAACAAACAAACTAGTTGTGATTGGGATTCCCAGCAGCAGTTCCAGTCCCAGGGTTTCCATAACCGAAGCCAGGCTTAAGCTGTTAAGTATTCTAATGAGGTTCAGCAAATTCTTACAATGCTTTGTGTTTTCCTTTAACATTTTTTAAGATTTGTTTATTTGGTGGGTCAGCACTATTTTTAAAATTTTTTTTAAAAAAAGATCGGAGGTGCAGCTGGAGAGATGGCTCAGTGGTAATGAGCACTTCTTTTCCAGAGGACATGGGTTCAGTTCCCAGCACCCATGTGATGGCTAACTGTAACTCTGGCCCCTACAGGTATTTCATGATACAGATACACTTACATACATGCAGAAATGGGTTCAGTTCCCAGCACCCATGTGATGGCTAACTGTAACTCTGGCCCCTACAGGTATTTCATGATACAGATACACTTACATACATGCAGAAAAAACACTCATGCACATGAAACAAAAATAAATGTGTGTTTTTTTTTTTTAATTTTAAGATTTGAGGATTTGGCCAGGCATGGTCGTACTCACCTTTAATGTCAGCACCCAGGAGGCAGAAACAGGCAGATCTCTGTGAGTTCAAGGCCAGGCTGGTCTACATAGAGAGTTTGGTCTACATAGTGAGTTTCAGGTCAGCTGGGGCTACAGGTAGACTCTGTCTCAAAAAGACCAGGAAAAAAAAAGATTTGAGGGCTGAAGAGATGCTTCTAGACACCCACCCCCTAGAGGCCAGAAGAGGGCTTCAGATTGCTTGGAGCTGGACTTACAGGAATTTGTTAGCCACCTGACAAGGGTGCTAGGATCTGAACTCTGGGCCCCATGATTGCATGATTGAGTAGCAAGTGTTCTTAACTGCAGAGCCATCTCTCCAGGTTTTTGTGGGGGATTTTTTTCATTGTTTTGTTTTGTTTTGTTGTTGCTTGTTTTTGATACAGGGTCTCCCTGAAGCCCCAGCTGGCCTGGGACTTGAGCAAACTGGCCTCAATTTCACAGAGATCTGCTTCGCCTCTGCCTCTGCCCTCTGCCCTCTGCCCTCTGCCCTCTGCCCTCTGCCCTCTGCCTCTGCCCTCTGCCTCTGCCCTCTGCCTCAGCCTCAGCCTCAGCCTCAGCCTCTGCCCTCTGCCCTCTGCCCTCTGCCCTTTGGCCTCTGCCTCAGCCTCTGCCCTCTGCCCTCTGGCCTCTGCCTCGTTGGCCACCAAGCTGGCTTGCATTTTCTTGATGACTAAAGCCGAGTATCTTTTCATGTGCTGATTGTCTTGTTTTTCAGACAGTCTCAGGTATCCCTGATGGGATGTGGTGAAGCCGAAACAGTGTAATGATTGACATTATGAACTCACAAAGATCTAAAATCACCTATCACACGAGCCTCAAGGCATGCCTGTGAGAGATTATGTTAAATTAATGGAAGTGGGAAGACCCACCCTAAATGTGGCCAGCAGCCAGGATGAGGTCCTAAACTGCATCAACAAGAGAAAGCAGGCTCGCACAAGCAGTGCAATGTGATCAGCTGCTTCAAGCTCTTGCCACCATGCCTTCTGCCTTGATGGACTGTACCCTTGAACTGTGAGTCAACATAAACCCTTCCTTTTTTTTTTTTGGTCTTTTTGAGACAGGGTCTCCCTGTAGCCCCAGCTGGCCTGGAACTTGCTATGTAGACCAGGCTGGCCTCGAACTCACAGAGATCCGCCTGCCTCTGCCTCCCAAATGCAAACTGTTCCTCCTTTAAGTTGCTTTTATTAGGGTATTTTATCACAGCAACAGGAAAAGTAACACAAACAGGAAACAGAGGCAGACCCAGTCTTGACCCTTAAGGCCCACCCCCGTGTGATGTACTTCCTACCGCCAGGCTCTGTCTCCCGAAGGTTTCACAACCTCTCCAGGTAACTGCTTGCTGGAGACGAAGTGTTCAAACATGCAAGCCCATGGGAAACATTTCAGATTCTAACTAGGCATAAAGGCTGTCCTAGCTTGTGGGGTACCTGGGCAGGAGGCTGTGTAGGGCTAGGACAATGGACCTTTGTGGGTGTCTCCTCAAGAAGTACGTGGAGTGTAGGCTTTGGATTCATGCGCCTGTGTTTGAAAAGTGTTCTTCAGAAATTGGTAACCCTAGGTGGGGTGAGGGCCCATCTAAATATCATAACATAGGAAGTAGGTACTAGCTGGTTGGTGCTGTGTAGCAATTTCCTCTGAAATTCCTTAAGACCCAGTGTCCTAGTCAGCATTAACTGTCAACTTGATAGGGCCTAGAATCACCTGAAAAAGTGTCTCAGTGGAGTAACTGTCTTCATCAGGTTTGTCATAATTGCTAATTGATGAAAGAGAGCCCAGCCCAGCTGTGGGTGGTGCCATTCCCTGGGCAGGTGGTCCTGTGTGTTAGTGTCTAAGGGTCCTCATCCAGTTATTTTCCAGCCAGCATCAGAGAAGTCTTCGCACCTGCCGTCTCCAGAGAGCCAGCCGCTAGCTAGACAGCGGGACCAGAACCACGGCGGGAGAGTGCACGCACACCTGACCACGGGCCACATCCAGAGTGAGTGCGCCGGGGAGCCCAGGCACGCTCCCCACATTGCTTGCAGCCAGACTCACGCCAGGATTAGCCAGGTGTGGCGGAGACCCCAGGGTGCCCGCACACACCACGCCGGGGGTCAAGCGACCCACCCCATATAGAATCACCTGAAAAAGTGTCTCAGTGGAGTAACTGTCTTCATCAGGTTTGTCATAATTGCTAATTGATGAAAGAGAGCCCAGCCCAGCTGTGGGTGGT